CAGAGAAAGAACTGTGGAGTCTGAATGCAGATGGAAGCATACTATTTGCTCTCCTTTTCCTTTGTTGTTTTATTTTATTGCTTCATTCTTGTGGTTCCTCCCATTAATTCTGATTGTTCTTTACATCATGACTAATGGGAAAATATGCTTAACACGAATGTATATGTAGAACCTATGTCAGATTGTATGCTGTTTTGGGGGGTGGGGAAGAAGCAAGAGGGGGTAAAATTTAAAACTCAAAATCTTATGGAAGTAAATGTTGAAAACTAAAAATAAATAAATTAACTATTAAAAAAAAGAAAAAAGAAAGAAATCTCTTAGCCAATTGGAACAGACTTCCCTCTGGAGTCATTTTGTTTCATCAAATGGCTTTCAAAGACTTCACATTTAGCCTAAAGTCTGTGATTGATGGATTAATATGGGTTCTCATTGAGTTAAGGCTAAGTCTGGGGATAGAGTGCTTTCAACTCCACCCTTACAAAAGAAAAAATAGTACCTTTTCTTGGGGTGGATAGGACTAACAACTGAGAAAAGAAAGATCAGCTTGATTCTTCTTTTCCTTCTGTTTGTTTTCTTTGCCAAGAAGAATGACCTTTGCATGGTAAACAGCAGAACAAAAATGGCTAAGGGCTAAGTACCATGGCTTACCTAAGTAAGGAGATCTTAACAGGCCACCTGGTTGTCCATGATGAGTTCAAGTCACCTGGTCCTTAATAACTACATTCTTAGGTGCTAAAATGACGGCTGTGTATGATTGATAAGCCATTTGCAGTGACATCTGAAAGATCATGGTAAAACAGAAGAAGTACAACTAAGTCAGAGAAAGAACCAATGTCCCAATTTTCAAGAAAGGGAAGAGAAAAGAGTCTGAAAGCTAAAGGTCAGTCTTTGTGATAGAGATTCCTGGGAGAATCCTGGAATGGCTCCTTAAAGAGCTTCTTGGCAAACATCTAGAAAATGAAGAAATAACTACTAAGAGCCTGGCTTCATCAAGGCAAGCCTCATTTCCTTTTTTGATGGGATTTCTACACTGGTAGATAAGGATAATGCTGTAGATTTCTTTTAACATAGATTTTAGCAAAGCTTTTGATAAAATATCTCATGCCATTCTTGGGAATTACATGGAACATGGGCACTAAGCAACCATACAATTCATTTGGATGGCCAGACTCTAAGACTTGTTGATGGTTCATTGCTAAGGTGACAAGTCTCCAGTGGAGGATGCCAAGGACTTGTGTTTGATTCTGTGCTGTTGAACATTGCTATCAGTGACTTAGTTAAAGACGTAGGCAGTATGCTCACCAAATCTGCAGATCCCACAAAGCTGGGAGGGAGAGCTAGCACACTTGATGACACTCAGGATCCCAAAAGATCTTGACAGACTGGAGCGGCAGGGCTGAACCTAATAAAATAAAATTCAATGATAAATATATAATTACAGAACCACAGAATTGTAGAGCTAGAAAGAACCTCAGCAACCATCTAACCCAGCCCACATGAGAAAGATCCCCATTATAACATACCTGGCCTCTGTTTCAAGACCTCCAATGAGGAGGAACCCACCATCTCTCAAAGCAAGACATTCCACTTTCGGACAACTCTAATTGAAGGGACAGCTAGGTAGTGCAGTGTGTAGAGCACTGGGTTTGGAATCAGGAAGACCTGAGTTCAAATCCAGCCTCAGCTGTGTGACCCTGGCCAAGCCACTTACCCCTGTTTGCCTCAGTTTCCTCATCTGTAAAGTGAGCTGGAGAAGGAAATGGCAAATCACTCCAGTATTTTTGCCAAGAAAATCCCAAATGGGGTCACAAAGAGTTAGACACAACTGAAACAACCAAAAAACAACAATTGTTAGGGAATTTTTCTGATATAGAGCTTAAATTTGCTTTTTCCCAATTTCCACTCATTACTCTATCCTCTGGGGTCAAACAGAACAAGTCTAATTCCTCTTCCACATGACAAAATATGTAATAATTTAATTAATCATTTAATGCTTAAAATACTTGAACACAGCTAGCTTCCTGGTTCCGCTCCACAGCTTTCTCTTCTCCAGGCTAACCATGTCCAGTTCCTTCCACAAATCTCCATTTGTCATGGACTCAAGGACTTTCACCACCCTGGCTGCCCTCCTCTGGACATTCGCCAGGTTATCAATATCTTTCCTAAATTGTGAGGCCCAGAACTGAACTCAATACTCAAGATGAGGTCTGTCAAGAGAATGGGATTATCACCTCCCTATTCCTGGAAGCTATGCCCTTCCTAATGTAAATTGCATTAGTCTTTTTGGCTGCCACATCACCCTGCTGACTCACATGGAGTTTGCAGTTCACTAAACTCCCAGATCCCTTCTGAAATAACTGCCATCTACCCATGATTCCCCATCTTAAATTCATGGCCTTGAATTTTTTTGTGCCCACATGCAAAATATTGAATTTCATTTTACTAGCTATGGCACAGTGTTCAAGCCTGTCGAATAGATGTCATTATTGGGGTAGAAAGAAAACAACTTCACAAGCATAAGATGTAGAAAGGTTTGTCCAAAAAAAAGAGCTGGAGGTTTCAGTGGACTGCAAGCACAATATGGGTCAGCAGGGTGTTGTGGCAGCTGAAAAAAGCTAAGTCAGTCCTGGGGTGCATTAAGAGGGGAAGAGCCTCCAGGAATAGGGAGGTGATAATCCCACTGTTCTCCACCCTCCTCAGATCTCATCCGGGAGCATTGGGTTCAGTTCTGAGGACCACAGTTTGAGAAGAACATTAGTAAGCGAGCAAGTGTCCAGAGAAAGACAACCAAGATGCTGAAGGGCTTTAAAGAGTTGTCATATGAGGATCAATTGAAGAAATTCAGGAGGTTTAGCCTTGAGAAGAAAGGACAGGGGAAATATGACGGCTGTGTTCAAGTATCTGAAGAGCCGTCATATGCAAGAAGGATTATGCTCGTCTGGGTAGACGTTGCAAAGTGTTCAGTTTAAGCTCAGTGTCAGAAAGGGCTTCCTAACCATTAGAGCTGTCCACAAGCAGGTTGGGCTTCCTTTAAAGGGGGTAGGCTTCATCTCCTTGGAGGTCTTCAAGCAGAGGCTAGCTGATCACTCTCCAGTATGTTCTAGTGAGGATTCCTTTGCAATTATGATTTGGATTAGATGGCCCAATTCTCAAACTTTGTAGTTCTGTCAGTATATGATTGCTCCCCCAACCCGACCCAGCCATTCAGTGCCCCATTTCAGGGTGCCCCCCCTGGTTTGGTCTCTACAAGGTCCCATCTATCTTCCCATTCTCCCATATGGATGAGCTTGGGTACCAAACCCTGAGTCCCTTCTCTGTCCTAAGGTGCTCCACCTCCCAGAGACCATAGGATTTAAAGCTGGAAGCAATCATTGAGATCATCTAATATAGGGATAGGGTCAACCCTTTTACTGCAAATTATAGTTTTAGGAAATTGCCTGAGACCCTGATAGCATAAAAGACACCGCCATGGTCACACAACCTGTAGATGTCAGAAATGGACTCGAACTCAGGTCTTCCGGCTCCAAGGCCAGTTTTCTGTCCTTTTAATAACACTGCCTCCTTACTTTTAAAGATAAGGGAAATGAGGCTGAGAGGTTAAGTGACTTACCCGAAGTCATACAATAAATAATAGAGCAGGGTAGAGCTATAGCTTAGATCACGGACTTTGCAGAGACAAAGTTGTTGGCTAAATGGATAGAAACTTCATAGTCAGAGCAGACCAGGAGAGAAGCAGAAGGGGCCTTGTGTGGCTCAGGACACCCCTTGAATTGCATCTGTACAGAAGGCAAGTCAACACTGTGGGATTCTAGGGCCAGGGAGAACAGAGGCCTCCAGGCCTAAGCCAGATTCTTCCTTCCCCTCCAACACATGCACAGAGGCCAAACTCAGACACCCTCTAGGGTGACCTGTAGCAAAGGTCTAATGACTTTGCTGGGTCATCTGAGCCTGCCAATCACAGGGTGGCCCTTCCAGCTCTACCTTCACCCGATAGGGCCCAAGGACTACTGAGCTAGCCAAGCCCAATAGTGTTTCAGAAACTCACTCTAGTCCAGAACCTTACTCGGGTGAATCATTTTCCCCGGATAGAGTATCAGATTGAAGAGGAGGAACAATGAGCACAGAGATTCCGAAGGAAAATACGAAGAGAACTAGCAGAAAACAGAAAAAGGGAAAGGGAGGGAAAAGAAAAGAGGGAAAGAGCCAGACAAAAATTTTCTTAGGAATTGCCTGCAATCCTGACTCCCAGGTGCAGTGTGGAGGAGACCTATGCGTCCCGGAGGCTGTCCCAACATCCCCTCAAAACTTCTATCCTTAGAATCATTGTGGGGGGCGGGAGGGAGGGAAGAAGAGTGCAGTTTCCATGAAAACATCCCGGTGCTAAGGCAAAGGGAGCGGAAGGGGCGGAAGGGGGGAACCTCAATCAGGAACTGAATCTAGTTGTTGTAACCTGTCTTCCCCTCTCTCTCGGGAAGGGCGGAGGAGGGGGCAGGGCAGGTCGGAGGGGAGTGCAGCGTAGGAGGGATAATCCCACGGGATTCTGCGTCCCTACTGCCCCATTGCCAAGATAACCCCGGGGCTAGCTCCGACTAGGGCTGTGACCAGAGTTTCAAGTTCGAATCCTATCACAGTTGCATGCTATGTAACTCCGGGAGACCCTCGACCCCACTCTCGGCCCCATTCCCCCTTCCAGTCGGTCCCTGAAAGGGGAGAATAGGAAAGGAGAATCTGGAAACTTCGACGACAGTCTCCTCAGTGAACCCCCGAAAAGGAGCTCTCCACACCTTGCCCCATTTCTCTGGCTGTCCCAAGGACTAGCGGGAGGGTTAACTGAAGGCTAAGGGCCAGCCAGGCCAGTAGCTGGGAGCTGGGGGCGTTGGGAAGGAATCAACCCCGCCCACACTCCTATCCTCCCGATTGGCCAGGCCATGGGGCTCCGCCCTCACCCCTTGCTGTCCTTGGGCTGGAAGGAGGTGGGAGTGGGTAGGGTGTCCCAGGAGGGAGTCCCTATAAGGCTGGCAAAGCGCGCGACGCTCTGGGGAACTGAGTCTGGGGTCCAGCAGAGGTGGGGGCAGCGGGGGAGACGAAGCTGCAGAAGTACCCAGCTGACCTCCTGACAGCCGAGATGGAAGTCGGAGATCCCTCAGGGGGCGCCCGGCAGGTACTAGATCCAACGAGTACTCCGAGCGAGTCCCGGAGGGGTACGGTTTGGCAGGGCTTACCGTGGCAGTGCAGGGAGAGAAAGGATGGAATTTTAGGGAGCCTTGGGGAGCGGGGGGTGGGGCGCGAGTGCCTGGGCAGAGGGCTTGGGGAATCTCCGGGGCAGGGGAGGCGGTGTGAGTAGGTGGCCCAGCCAACCGGCCCTTGGCCCACTTGGCTGACCCGGGAAACCCAGTTGGACCCTTGCCAAAGAAGAGGAGACCACTAAGCTAGTGCACCCAGCAAAGGGGAAGGGGGGAGATAAGGCAAAGATCAGAGCCCCAGTGATTCTCGCCCCCAGGAAGCCCTCAAGAGACTGCTGGGGTGACTAGCCCTTCCCCACACCGGCCTCCCCCTTGTGCTTAGAGGCAGTGTGGTACAGTGGAAAGAGCCCTAGCCTGGGAGTGAGAGAACCCAGAATCCAATCCCATTTTTGATACTTGCTACCTTTGTGAGCCCAAGGCCACTTAACCTTCCTAAGCCTCAGTTTCCTCACTTGTAAAGTGGAAGGATAGAGGGAAGAATTGATTCGGAGGTCCCCTCTAGTTCTCAATGTATGATCTCTCTTCCCCTGTCCCCAAGCTCTTCTACCTGCTTTCCACATTCCTTCCCCATCGACTTCCCCATCCCTTATCCCTCTATCTCCTGGCCTGTCTCTAGCTACCTTTTCCTTAGTCCCCTACCTCCCCCTAGAACACCTCTTGGGGCAACTAGGTGGCACAGTGAATAAAGCACTGGCCCTGGAGTCAACAGAACCTGAGTTCAAATCCAGTCTCAGACATTAGCTGTGTGACCCTGGGCAAGTCACTTAACCCTGATTGCCTCCCCCCCCAAAAAAAATAAGTCTAGTACCCCTCCTCTACCAGAGTCCAGGATTTGGAGTCAGAGGACCTGGGTTCAAATTATGATTCTGCTACTTTCCAGATGATGACCTTGGGCAAATCACAAACTGTCAGAGCTGTGCTTTTTCATACATAAAATGATAAAGTTGGACTTGCTGCTGCCTGAGATTCCTTCCAGCTGTAAATCCTAGATCCAATAAACCCAACTCCTCTTGCCTCTTCCCCTTACCTTGCCTCACATCTGCTGACCTCTCTCCCCACCCTAGACTATCTTATCCAGACCTCCCATCTCCTCTCTCCCCTCTTGTCTCTTCCAATGTCCTCTCATTACTGGGATGGCTGGTTTCCTGAGCTAAGGACCAAGGAGTGAGGGAGGTGCAGTGCCCATGGACAGTTGTCCAGCTACCAACTTCCAGTTTTCCCTCACCAAGAAGCCACAAACTGCCTCCTGACACTGAGTAGGCCTGATTCTTGGAAGCTCCAAGGCTACTGGATATCCTTTGCATTTCCTGGGACTCTAAAGGAACTCTGGGCCAGTGGTCTCTGGGAAATACCTTGGGGTACCACTCTCCAAGACATCACTCAACATCCTGTCCCAACCTGAGAAGACAGTAGGATACAATGGAGAGATCCCTGGACTAGAAGTCAGTACCTCTGGGGTCAAGTCAAGCCTTGCCTCTGACTGGCTGTCAGTCTCTCTGGGCCTCCCTCTCAACCTCTCCCACTCTATTTCATCCCCCACCTCTCCATTCCCAACAGAGAACTCATCCCAACCTCCAAGTAAAACCTTAGCATTTTTCCTCCTGGGTTCTGTATGCAGTCTCTCTCACTCTAGTAAGAGCAGACTGGGGGCTCTCTCTATCTATGAGTTCAGAGCTCTGAGCCAAGTTAGATCACATTTAATATGGAGCTTCCTCCAAATCCTTTTTTCAAATAAACAGGATCTAAAATTCAATTGATGAGCCCCATACCTTACAAAGCATTTTCCTAGTCAGTCTCTATAAGTGGAGTAAAGATGATTAACCCCATTTTTTAGAGGAGACCAAGATCCAGAAAGAAGGAGCTTGCCCATTGTCATGCACAGTGAGTCAGAGGCAGAGCTGAGACTAGGTCTCAGGGAATCTCTTGATTCCCAGCTGGGACTTCTTCAGGGACATGATTTGGACTTGACCATGGAGTTTAAGGTTAAAAGGCAGGGGGTCCAGGAAGGAAACTGTTCAGTGCATAGGAGCAATGAAGATGATCTCACCACTCAGTACCAACCCCTTCCACCCTACCTCTCATCTCCCAGGATGACTTCTTGGCCACCATGTCAGAAGAGGAACAACAGCTCGGTCCTGCCCCAGTGGAGGAGAAGCAGCAGTCCCAGGCCCAGGCTAAGGTAAGTGAAGGCCAGATTACTGCCAGGATCTGGCAGTAAAGCTGGAGCGGCTTCTCTCTCCATCCTCCTTGGCAGGATGAGCTCTAGTTTCCCTATCAAATGAGATATTTGTAAAGCACTTAGCACATACTTAATAATGGCTTCTTTCTTCCTTTCTCCCTTCTCACTTAGAGTGACCTGCTCTTATTCTACCAAACAGGGTCTTCAAAGCCCCTGCCCTGCCTGGGGTGGGGTTGGGGGTGGGGGTGAGTGAGTTGCTTGTTTTCAGCATCTGGGGAAGTGTGGTGCTGGAGCTCTGCGCCTCTGACAGCCCTGCCTCCTCCCCTCAGAACCTGATGAGTAGAGTGGCCAGTCTGCCTCTGGTCAGCACAACCTATGCCAGGGCATTGGCCCTATACAGCTCTGTGAAGGAGAACCACCCATATCTGAATTCTCTGTGTGGACTGGCTGAGCGCAGCCTTCAGGGCCTAACCACCAGAGCCGCCAGAGGGGCCCAGCCCATCCTCAGCCTGCTGGAGCCACAGAGTAAGTGTCCTGGAATCAGGGCTCCTCCTGGCCACTGACCTATCCCACTTTTCTCTGGGGGTCTCTCTGGAGTTTGACAGCCTCCCTCAGCCCTCTCCTCTCCTTCTCCCACTGACCTTAGGGGTGCCAGCTTTCTGTGCCTAAGCATTGGCTACTCAGGACCCCCCAGAACAAGGTCTGTTTCCTTCCTTTCTTCCTCCTACTCTCCCTCATCTCCTCCTTTCCTCCTCTCCTACTCTCCCCCTTTCTCCCTTTCCCTCTCCCCTTTTCTCCTCCTTTCTCTGCCTCTCTTCCTCATCTCCACCCCCCATACTCAGACACCTGCTGGCCTGCTCACTTCCACACTTGTGTGCACACTCAGGTTCTGCCCATCTTTCTGGCACATCCAAATCCCTGCCTCCTTTCTTTCTACTCAGACCTCAGACCTGGCTGCCACAATTCATTCCCCTGAGCTGCCCTCATATAGCTCGATCCCCTGTTCACTGGCCTAGGAGACAGGGCCCTCCTGGCCATCCAGGCATGAATATTCCCTGTGAGAGGCAGCTGGGACCAAGAGTGGGGTGGGGCTGGGGGGACCCCCAGCTGAGGTGAGGAGGAAAGGGGCTCCTGGAGGAATAGACTCCCGGTACCCCTGTGGGGCCCCATCAGGCAGCTGTTTACTGCTCACAGGTGACCTTCAACCTAGTTTGAGTGAGAAGTAGACATCACCTTGGCATTTGCAGTGACCTTCAGAGTCAGGCCCTGTGGGAGGGGGAGGCTGTGAGGGTCCAACCTCAGCCGCAGCTCGGAGCGCCCCCTGGAGCATCTCCCGAAGCATAACTGGCTCCCTAAGTACCTACCGCCCAGGCTTCACCAGCCCAGAAAGTCCCAGCACCTCAGCTCACCCCATTCCCTAGAGGGACTGTGCATCTCTTGTCTTTCAGACTCTGTATGTCTCTTGGAGTCTCTGTGCATCTGTCTCTGTCTCTTTTTTTAAACTACAAATCTTTCTCTGTGCCGATTTAAACTTGACAAACATTTAAGTATCTACTCTGTGTCAGATTCTACTTCTCCTGCCTGTTCCTTCGTCCCTCTGTCTTCTGGCCATTCCCTACTCAGTCTGCCAAGTTGGAGGAGGAACTTGAACTCAGGCAAACGATTTTTTGAGCAGGAAAATGACATGGTCAATTTGTGAATTAGAAAGGTAATTTTGAGACTAGATAGGTCTGCTGTGTGCAATGACATCTCTTTTGGGGCAGTTCACCCTGGAACTAATTCAAAAGATATAATTTCATTGTATCTATGAATTATTGGTCATCATTTCACTGCTCAAATATCAACTTTGTGGGGCAGTGAAGAAAAAAAAACCAAGCATTTATTAAGTACCTACTAAGTACCAGTCACCGTGCTAAGCACTTTACCAATATTACCTCGCAACAACCCTGAGAGATAGGTGCTGTTTTTTACATTTGAGGAAACTGAGGCAAACAGAGGTTCTTAAATGACTTGGCCAAAGTCACACAGCTAGTAAGTATCTGAGGCCAGATTTTGAAGTTAGTTCCTCCTGACTCCAGGGGCTCTCTCCTCTGTACCACCAGCTGCCTGAGTACTGCATCTGGATTCACAAGAGCCAAGTTCAAAATCCGAGGTCTAATCACCTGTAAGTTCCTTCCCTTCTCTGGGCTGGTTCCCTCTTCATCTATAGAAAAAAGGGGTTGGGCTGGATGATCTTTTAAGGTCCTTTCCAGCCTAAACAGGTCAAACTCACCAGGGGATTCTGTAATAGACGTGTTATCAATTCTTCCAGTCTTGCTATGACTTTTTTCATTTGTAGAGCCCAAGCTTGGGGAGCTGAAGCAGAAAAGAAAAGTGGGTCAATGTCATTATGAGCAGAGTCAGTGATTCAGAATTAGTGCTCAGAGACATCCTTAGAATTTACTTCTTATGTCTTTCTGTCTGCCTCCACTTCCTTCTCCAACTCTGAGTCCACATCTCAGTTTCTCAGTGTGTGCAAGGAAAGTGTTTGTCTCTTTGTCTCTTCTCTTTCTGACTCTTTAAACAGAGTTGTGCCTAGCCTTCTTTGTCCCTGGAGACAAGTGGCAAGACACATGCCTTGCAATCAGCTTTCTTTGTTTTTCCTTTCTTTTTCTTTCTCTTCTTTTCTGTTCTTTTTCTTTTTTGAGACTAGGTTTCCTTTTTTCACCAAGAATGGGTATAATGCAGTGGCTATTCACATGCTCCGTGCCATTATTGATGAACCTGGAGCTTTGAACAACTCTGTTTCTGAACTGGCCTGTTGCCCTTCCTGAAAAGGGCTAGTGACCCCCACTCCTGGGGACTACCCATCCTGGTGGCAGCCTTAGTGCATACACCCAAACAGTTTAGCTCACTGCAGCTCAGAACTCCCAAGTTCCCATCCACCCACCAGCCTCAGCCTCCCCAATAATAGGGATTACAGGTGTATACAACCACCACCACCCCCCACTCCCACCCCTAATCAACACTTTAAAGATCACTCCATTGCAAGGGAAGGGGAAAAGACTACCCCCTTGTGGACAAAAAGAGATCTTGGGCTCCAGGACACAAGGGGCAGCAGGGTGCGTTAGAGAGGATGTTGTTACCTGATAACTATTAATTTTAACCAATTGGTTTTTTTTTTAAAACTAGATGCTAAGCTCAGTTGTTTCTAACTGCCAAAGGAGCACAGGCGTTTTCCTCTAAATTCTTGTAAAATCTACAGCTACCCTGCCCTCATTCCAGCTCTATGAATGTGCGTGGCTTGGTACATGTCTTTCCCTGAGTGTATGTGTCTGTCTCTCCAGTTACTTCAGTGAACACATATGCCTGCAAGGGCCTGGACAAGCTGGAGGAGAAGTTGCCCTTCCTCCGGCAACCCTCTCAGGAGGTATGCTGGGACACGTTGGGAGGTGTTGTACCGAGCAGGAAAGGTGGGACACAAGAGAGGGCAGGGTATGAAGACAAGATGCGGGAGGCTCCCATGATGATGGAGCAGGGAATGAGGAATCCTTGTGCTGAGGAGAGCTTGAGACTAAACCCCATTCTCCTGCAGCCTGCTCTGGGGCTAGGCTTCAGAGAAGTGCCACTGTTACCCACTGAAAACAAACACAAATTAATTTTGCTAATATGCATAAGGGGGAAAGGTGGAAGAGTCACTTCCCCCATTTAGGAGATGGGGAAGAGAAGGCAAGTGATTTCTCTGAGGTCCCATAGCACACAAGAGCTAGAAATGGGAGTCTTGACTTGTAACTTTGGGATTTAATGCAAGAATAAGAAGATGCTAGAGGCTTGGGGAGTGGTGAGGGTGGGCAATGAATTGCCAGGACTTATAAGGAAAGAAAGTCAGGAGTCCTAACTCACAGCCCAGAATTTTGAAGTAGAGGTATCAAAGCAGAGGGCAGAAAGCCCCCTGGATTTTGAATCAGATCTGGATGCAGACCCAGTTTCTCCTATTTAACCACATTACCTGTATGATTTTGGCAAGCCACTGGACTTCCCTGACCCTTGTTTTCTTCATCTGCAGGGTGGGCTAAATGATCTTAAAGTCCCTTAGACCTCTAAATCCTGTGACCCTGGAGATCTTGGAATTGAAGAAAGAGGGAGGGAGTTACGGGCTAGTAGGGACTGGCAGGGGCTAACAGAGAAGGAATCTTGGTTTCTAGTCAAAAATCCAGAGAAGGGAGTAGAATAGCCTGCAGGTCCAGCAGTAGTGGAGAGAGGAAGGAGAGACTCTGAGTTCCCAGGGTCTGACAGGATCTCAAGCACGGCTCTCCTCACAAGGTGGTGACATCGGCCAAGGACGCGGTAACCAGCAGTGTAACGGGAGTGGTGGGCCTGGCCCAGAAAGGTCGGCGATGGAGTGTGGATTTGACTCGTTCGGTTGTAACCAGTGGGGTAGACACAGTCATGGGCATGGGACAGATGGTGACCAATGGTGTGGATGCCATGCTGGGCAAGTCTGAAGAACTTATGGATCACTTCCTACCCATGACTGATGAGGAACTTGGTGAGATCCCAGCCTGGGCTAATTCCACCCCACCCTTCAGTACACGACTTGGAAATGGTCAGGCAGAAGCAATAATAATAATGACAATGACCTGGGCTGGATCCAGCACTGTCTGATACTAGGCAGGTCACGTCCCCTGACCCCTCAATGCCTCTGTTTCCCCATCTGTAAAATGAGAACAATACTATTTATACTCCCTTACCACAGGGTGCTCATGAAGAAAGCCCTTTGTAAGCTTTAGGGTGCCTTATAAACACAAGCTATCATCATTGCTTGGCCCACATTATTTCATTCGATCCTCATGGCATATCTATGAGGTAGGTAGTACTGCCATCTTTCTCTTCATTTTACAGATAAGGAATCTGACGCGGAGAAGTAGAATGATTTCCTCAGGGTCACACAGCTAGTAATTATTGGAGCCAGGACGTGAACCTACGTCCCCCAGTGTTACATTCAGTGCTCTTTCCACTGAGCTCATAGGACCTTCAAATCACTGAATCATAGAATTATGAAAACTCTAGAACCTTGGAGCATAGGATATTAGAATATGCTGTCAGAGCCAGAAGGGACCTGAAGAACCCTCTAGCTCAACACTCTCTTTTTACAAGCAGGGAAACTGAGTCTAAAGGAGGGGGAAGTGACTTGCCCAAGATCAAAAACTGGTTTCTTGGTTCCTAACAAAGGACTCAACCATGTTCCGTAAATAGTCAGAGCTCTGGCCCCCTGAGGGATAGAATGAGGCCAGGGCCAGATGGGCAACCTGAACGTGCATGGGATGGCATAGGAAGTCTCCATTTCCTCTTATTCCTCAGTGACCCTGAGGGATCTCTTTCAATCCCAGGATCCCAGATCTGGAGTGGAAGGGACCTCAGAGGACGTCTAGTCCAACCCTCTCATTTTATAGACGAGGAAATTGGCCCCAGGTAAATTAAATAGCTTATCAAATATTGAATAAGTAGTAACCATCAGAGGTCAGATATGAATCCAGGTCCTTTGACTCAAGAAAGAAATGCTGTGCAGTGCAGTGGAAAAGGCTAAAAATGAGGCTAGAAATGGGTATAGAACCCATAGAAAATGGTTCTAATCCTAGCTGTGGCACTAGCTTCTTGCATGATCCTGAGCAAGTCATTTCTCTCTGGGCCTCAGTTTCCTCATCTGTAAAATGAGGTTGCGGGATGGAAAAGAAGAAGAAGAAGATCGTAGGAGTCTGAGAAGAGATGGAAATATAGTGCAGAGGGAAGAATCTGGGCTGGGAGGCAGGAAACTTGGGTTCTAGTCCAGGCTCTAACTTGATATATGACTTCAGGCAAGCCCCTTCTTCTGTCTTCACCTGCTGTTTCTTTTTTGAGAAGGGGAGATAATCCCTGTTTAAATTCCCTCCCACTAGTGGTGTGAAGACTAACTGAGGAGGTTAACAGGAAAGCCTTTCAGAATCATAGGCTTATCAAATCTCAGAGTCAAGCAGTTTACAAAAGGAAGGAGGAAACACACACAGTGATAGCAGCATGAGCAAAGGCTTGGAAGTGGGAATAAGCAGGCCATCTCTGGAGAAAATAGTGAGGATCCAGCTTGTCTGAAGAAGATTTATGTTAGAGTTTGGGGGTAACAGTGGGAGCACGAGCGCTAAGGTTAGATGTATGGTACAAGTGGAAAGATCAGTGGAGTAAGAGATAGAGGGCCTGGGTTCACATCTCAGCTCTGTCATTACCTAACTGTAACTCTGAGCAAGTCACTGTTCTTTTCGGACCTCAGTTTCTCCATATGTAAAATGAGAGAGTTGGCTAAATCCAACACAAAGCCTAGGACCAGCATTGCTGCTACAACACTCCCTAGTATAACCAAACTATATTAAAATGTGATTCAGAAATATTTAACAAAATAAATCAAATGCAGTAGAACATAGATAATATGAATGCATGGTTTTCTAAGTCTATTTGTGGCCTGCAGGGATCCTTATGTTCAGCTTAGTGGCCCCTGTTTCTGAGTTTGATGCCACTGGCCCAGGTGACCCCACTGGCCTAGGTGACCCTACTGGCCTAGGTGATTGCTGAAGACCCTTTCAGATAGTTCTAATCACCATTACTATCATTTCTCCAACCTCACCTGTGCTACCTTCTCCCTCCCCCATACCAAGGGCTTAGTCAACTCCCATGGTTTACAAGGGGGTTAAGGAGTATTGGTTAGAGTGCCCATCCCAGAGCGGGCATCCCTAAACCACACTTTTTCTGGGCCACAGATGAGCTGGCTGCCGCAGCAGCTGAAGGTGGGGCCCTGGCCCCAGGGGAAGACCAGCATGGAACAAGCTACTTTGTACGGCTGGGCTCGCTGTCATCTCGACTCCAACAGCGGGTATACCAGCACTCACTGGGCAGACTCCGCCAGAAAAAGCACCAGGCCCAGGAATCTTTCACCCAGCTACATGATACTCTGGAGATGGTAAGACTCTCCTCTCCTCATGATGCCTGGTCCTCCAAAGCTGCTCACCCCCACACAGTGAGGGCAGTAGCAAAATGAAACCTGTTTGCCCCACTTCACGTCCCTACGACCTCCTGTTCTTTCCTCCCTAATTTTAATACCCATGTATCTCTCTGGGCCCATCTGTAAATTGGTTAGACTAGGCGATTTCTAAGGGCCTTTTCAGCTCTTGTTCCTATGATCCTTCTCAAAGCTGCTCTCAGAAAGGTCTCTGAGCTCCTTCTTATCCTGCCAGAGTCAGTCAATAAATATTTATTAAGCACCTACTATGTACCAGCCACCATGTTAAGTAAACACTGGAGATACAAAGAAAGGGAAAAGACAGTCCCTGCCCTCAGGAAGCCCACAATCTAATGGAGTAAATGTCATTCCTAGGGTCCCCCTAAGCCTCAGCTCTGATGAGGGAGGAAATGTTTAGGTCTTCTTAAAAAGGAACGTCTGGCCTGAGGAACAGACTGGGGAGATGAGGATGCTTTTCCTGACCCCTGAAACTCATGTCCCCCTCCTCACTCTGAATAAGTATAAATCTATGCCTGGATCTGCCTTCTTTTTTCTCTAGGTTGGCATTCAATGTTCCCTGGCCCTTAAGTCTTTCACCTCCTATCCCCAAGCTACTTTTCATCTATATTTTATACTATACTTACAATATTTTCATCTATACTTTTCATCTGTCATGACATTCACATATCACTTTAACCCGGCCTGGCTCATTCTTACCTCTGAATTTTTGCTCACATCATTGCCTGGCCTACAATACCCTCCCCAGCCTTACATCTGTTCTCCAAATCCTGGCCCTCCTTTGGGCTCCCTAGAGGTTGGCCCCATGCTCACTCAGCCAGGATTGGGGGTGGAGGGTTGGGGGAGGACTTCAAGCTTTAGTCCAGTTTGGTGGAAATATAGTGTGTATCATGGAGAATACTGACCGGCCATATTGTGAAGGGCTTTGAATGCCAGGTTAAGGAAAAGAAACACTCCTAGAGCCTTGTCCTTAGAGAGTTTAGGGGAAGCAGAAAGAAGAAACTCAGGCCTTGCCCTCAGAGAGCTCACCTTTCTGGGAATGAGAGGTAGGAACCTGAAATTCCCACAGATAACACTTTGAGGTATTTGGAGGACTGCTTTTCCATTTTCCCTCCCATACCCCAACACACCTTACAACTGTACCAGGATGGGTACAGTAACTTACTTAGCCAAATGTGATCCATTCAGCTCAAGTAGGCAATACGGGTCAGAGGATTCAGCCTCCAGGAAGGGAAAAAAGAACCATTCCTTTTGGGAAGAGTTCTCAGGGAAGGTTTCCTAGAGGCAGAGCTACAGATAGGTCCCTCCCTTGGGTACAACAACACCCAGCACCCACCTTTGACTCCTTGACCCCCAAATGCGGGGCCCTAGTCCTGGTTCTCACTCCCCTTCGCCCTTCACCCCCTCTCCCTTGAAACAGATTCACCATATGAAGCATGGCTCCAATCACAACTTCCAGGGTGGGCAGGGAAGGCTGAAGCAGCTGTGGCAAGACTGGAGTCACCAGGATAAAGAATGCCACCAGAGCCAGGTAATGGGGTTCAGGGGCCCTATCCAGGCCATGACCACTGCCAGGGTACCTGCCTGGAAGTGGGAGTGGGACAGGAAGATTCCTGGCCCAACTAGGGTGACTCATTTTCCCTACCTAAGACAACTAGGTGGCACAGTGGGTAGAATGTTGGACTGGAGTCAAGAAGTCCTGAGTTCAAATGACCTCAGACACTTATTAGCTGTGTGACCCTGGGCAAGTCACGTAACTGCTCTGTGCCTCAGTTTTCTCATCTGTAAAATGAGCTGGAGAAGGAAATGGCAAACCACTCCAGTATTTTTGCCAAGAAAACCCCAAACGGGGTCGAGAGGAGTCAGACACAATTTAAACGACTGAACAAGAGGTAAATTAACTTGTAGAGAATGCCATATCCACGCAAGGCAACCAGGGGTAGCTAAAGGACCACAACTTGGAGGCAGAAGATCTGAGTTAGGCTCATGACTTGGCTGTTTGAGCAAGTCACTCAAATTCCCCAGGCCTGTTTCCTTAACTATCAAATGAGGGGGTTAGATTAGAGTTCCTTTTCTGCCCTAAATCTTATGATCTTAAGATTTATTAAACTGCAATCTGCATGAGGTCTGGGACTGTCTTCATTTATTTGACATCTTCCCTGCCTATGGGACATCCAGTTACAGATGTCCAAAAAAGCAATTGGTGATGTATGACTCAGGTGATATAACTCAGAAGAGAGGCTGGAGCTGAGTTTATAGGTCTGGAAATCTTTTGTATAGAAAGGATCACTGAATTCACAAAAAACTAATGACATTACTGAGATAGTAAGGAAAAGAGACCAGGAAAGAGCCTTAGGGATTACCCATAGTTAGTGGACTTGACATGGATGAAGAACCAGCAAAGGAAACTGAGGAAGATTCGGTTGGACAGATAAGAGGAAAACCAAGAGAAAGAGCGCAGTGTCATAAAAATTAGAGAGGAGAGCACATCCAAGAGAAAATCACAATCAATGTGGGGAAACGCTACAGAGGTGTCAAGACCATTTGATTTGACAATGAAGATATTGGTAAATTTGGAAAGAGTAATTTCTGTTGAATGATGAGATCAGAAGCCAGAATGCAGAGGATTTAGATAGAATGAGAAGAGACGAAGTGGAAGCGCCCAGATAGATGGCTTTATCGAGGAGTTTACCCAGTCAAAAAGGAAAAAAGGTATAGGATGATAAGCTATCAGGGATGTCAAGATCAAGTGAGAATTTTTAAGGATGAGGGAGATGTGGGAGTGTTTGTAAACAACTGAGAAACATAGGGAGACGTGAAGATAAGAGAGTGAGAAGTGACCAGGAGTCACAGACGCTACATTGTGGTGAACCCCATCATGCCCAAGAGGATCAGCAGTGGACCCACCCCGAGGACTAGACTTTCTAGAATTTCTCATAGCACAGCTTCAAACCTGGCAGTGGGATAACCTGGTGCTCTTTCTGTTGGGAATACAGGACAGTGGAGTTCTATTCAGCAAGTATTTATCAGGTAGACAAAAAATATGATCCAGTCTCCGGCTTTCAAGGAGCTCATGGTAGGGAGGCTAAGACAAGTACACAAAGGTATGTGAAAAAAGGCATAATGTGATAGAGGTAGAGGGAAGGTCCAGACAAAACGCTGTGAGTAATGAGTTAAGGAAAGAGGCTTGTTCAAGGCATAGGAACAGAGCCATATATACATATATATATATATATATATATATATATATATATATATATCTAGGGATTTCATAAAAGGAGATGAAATCAAGCCCAGAACAAGCAGCTGAGCAGAGGTGAATGGGTCATAGCTGGGGGGTGCAGAGCAGATTGGGACTGAAAGAAACATAGCTGCTAGGGACACCACCTCAGTGGAGGCTCAGGGAAGAACCTTAGCCAGCATGGCATCTGGTCATTTTCTATTCTAACTAGTAAGTCTTGCTAACCAGGTGCCAAGCTCTGTTTCTGTACAGAGAAAAAATCCAGTGCTCCTAAATTTGGCAAAGCCCCAGGCCCCAATCCTTAGTTATAGCCTGTACAGTTACAGTTATAGCTGTAAGAATGCATGGAGGCAGAAGGCAGCAGATGGAATTCAAGGAATATCTCTTTAGTCCACTTTGGTTGGAACACTGAGTGTGTGAAGGGGAGGAAGGAAAAATATGGCTAGAAAGTCAGTTTGGAGCCAGATTACGAAGGGCCTCGTACATCAAATTAAGTCTTTAGCTAATCCTCTAGGCAGTAGGGAGCCATTAAAGATTCTTGAGCCAGAGAGTGACCAGCTGAGACCTTTGCTTTAGGAAAATGAATGGGGTCTATGGAAGGCAGGTTGGCAAGGGCAAAACTACAGGCAGGGAGACTGTTACAGTAGTCCAGGTGAGAGGGGTTAAGGATCTAAACTAGGACGGTTGCAGAGGGAATGATGAAGAGGGAACAGATTTGAGAGGCCATTTACTCCAACTTCTTATTATGTTAAAATATATAATATATTACATTAATAATATAATTATGTAATATAATATGTTATATAATATTATATTATAATAATAAAATATATTACATTAAAATCCATAATAATATATTATTATATTAAAATAAATAATATACTTTATTTTATATAGGAGGAAACTAAGGCCTGTGGAGATAAAAAAACAACTTTCCTGAGATTATACAGCTAGTATATAACCCTGGGTCTGGAGTCAGGAGAGACTTTGTTTCAAATAAAATGAACAAATCACTTAATCTCCCCGAGCCTCAGTTTCCTAATCTATAAGATGGAGATAATAACAATAGTTGCTGCTGTTCAGTCATATCTGACTCTTCATGACCCATTTTGCGGTTTTCGTGGCAAAAATACCAAAGCTGTTTGCCATTTCCTTCCCCATCTCATTTTTTACAGATGACGAACTGGGGCAAACGGGGTTAAATGACTTGCCTAGGGTCACACAGCTAGTAAGTGTCTGAGGCAGGATTTGAATTCAGGAAGATGAGGTGACTCCAGGCCTGGTGCTCTTACCTATCCACTTGCAGCGCCACCTAGAGGCTCATAATACCAATAGTATCTACCGCAGAAGGTTGTTTTAAGGATAAATGAGGAAGGGTACATGGGTTACATTTATGAAGTGCAATATACAGTTACTTATTTAATAATATTTGGAAATGTAGAGATCAGAGGCCTGGGAAGAGGGTGAAGTTAGAAATATAGATTTGGAAATCAATTGCATAGAAATATTTTATAATTTAAGCAATAGGATGAGAAAGAGAAGAGGCCTAGACAGAGCCTTGAGGAATGTCCATACTCTGGGGGTGGGAGGAGAACCAGAACCTCTCAATGATTCATCATCCTCATCAACACTGAAAAAATGAATGAAGCATTTATTAAGCACTTACTGTGTGCAAAGCACTTTGCTAAGTGTCAGAGATACAAACGGAAAACTCAGACAGTCCCTGCCCTCATGAAATTCACACTCTACTCGGGGAGACAATACTTTGGGGAGTTTTCAGCATTAAGTCAAATGGAAAGGTCCCATGATCCTTAGGAGATAGCAGCAGAGCAGATGAGAATTCCTCTCTTTTAATGTTATCTCCACCTGATCCAGGTGCATTTCTATCAAGGAAACAGAATGGTGAATTGGTCCAGAGAGGACTTCCAATAGAAAAAATGAAGGGGGATGAGTTATCCATAAGTACAGCCCTTTCCAAATATTGAGTGGGACAGGCTTGGGAGTGAGGTAGGCAGGGGGACAAAAGAGGAAATCTAATGAGTCAATGTGAAGTCCTACCCTTGAGTTCAAAAAATCATCAGTAGTATCTCTGGGCAAGTCACTTAACCCCAATTGCCTTGCAAAAAAAAAAAAAAGAAAGAAAGAAAAAAATCATCAATACAAGTTTAGGATGGGGAGGAAGTATGACTAAAGAGCAATTTAAGTTAGAGAGATCTGGGCATCTTAGCACATTGCCTGCTCCCCATCAGTCTATAGTGTGAGCTACAGCCAGCAGAGTAGCTAATGTGGTCTGTGGCTGTACTGGGGCAGAAGCGTCCAGAATAGGAGATGTCCTCTCCCCTGTGCAAATGCTATCTGAAGAGCTGTGTTCCACGCTGGGCACCACACTGCAAGAACCACATTGACAATCTGAAACACAATGAGAGGACAGTAACCAGAATGCTATGCAGACAGGCAGCTATATATTACAGAGGGGTGGAACCCACATGCTGCCTGGGGACAGTCAGTAGGACTCCCCAGCAAAGCCTGAACCAGATTAAAATGGAATTGGGAAATATTTAACCAAATAAAAATATTAAATAAAATATTTAACAAAATAAAATATAAAATAAAAACATAGATAGCATTATAGTTTAAAATTAGTCAATATGCAGTCAATCGGGATCCTTTATGTATGAATTAGTGCCTCTGTTTTTATCTGAGATTGATACCACTGGAATTAATGGACTTGGAATCAGGAAGACCTGAGTTCAATACTTACTAATTGTGTGACCCTGGGCAAGTCACTTAACCTGCGTCAGCCTCAGTCTCCTCATCTGTAAAATAGGGATAATAATACCCCTGCCTCCCATCCCTGGTGGTTGTGAGGATGACATGAAGTCATGTGTAAAGTGCTTTTTGCAAACTTTCAAGCACTGTACAAATGCTAGCTTTCATTATTATAGTTAGCTGAAACTGAAGGCTAGGCCCTAGTGAGGACTCCATGAAACAACAGGGAACGTTCAGCCTGGGGAAGGGAGTATGAAGAGGAAGAGGAGGGAGGAGATAATGCCACACCTGACATTGTGTGGAAGGGGGATAAAAGGCTAATTAGGAATAACGTAGGGGGAGACAGCGAATGCCGAGGGGCAGATTTCTGCTCAACCAAAGGAAAGATGCTTTAACAATGAGAACTGACCCAAAGTGGAATGAGTTGCCTCGAGAGGATGGTGAGTTTCCCATCACTAGACATCTTTAAGTAGAGACTGGATGATAACATGTCTAAGAGGGGGTAGTATATATTCCTATTTACATATATTTTGGACTAATTCCCTCCTGGGACTTTTTGTGACACCTAGCCAAGTTCTTGTTTCTTTCTCCAGGTAGAATCGCAGACTCTGGACCTGTCCCGAGACCTAACTCAGGAGCTACAGGCCACATGTGAGACGCTGGCAGCTAGCGTGCAGGGGTTGCCACCGGCCGTCCAAGCAAAGGTGCTGGAGGTCCAGCAGAGTGTGGAGGAGCTGCATCAGGCCTTCTCAGCCGCCCGCTCCTTCCATGATCTGCCGCTGGCAGTTCTGGCAAAGGGCCGGGGCCACATGGCGCAGGCCCACACGACCGTGGACGAGCTCCTGGATTTTGTCCTACAGAGCATCCCCCTGCCCTGGCTGGTGGGGCCCTTTTCACCCTTAATAGTGGAACGGCCCTGTACCCCACAGGAACTGATAGACCAGGTCGATGAGGTGGTGGGAGGCAACAGGTCCAGCCTTCTGGAGGACCGTTGGGCCAATATGGATTGGGTGGCCCAACAAGAAGCCTGGCGAGCTGCTCAGGAGGCCGCCGTGGCAGAGGAAGTCGAACCACCCGTGATCCCCAGCCAGGAGGTCAAGAAGGCAACAATAATGCCTGAGCTAGACTTCTGAGCAGTCTTCCCCTCTTGACCAATGAACAAATATCAGCTGCTGGGCAAGTTTAGGGTCAAGCATCCCCCTCTCCTCAGCCCTGCCTGTCCTCTAAGGGCCTCTCCCAAGGGCAGGGGTCCTGAAGCCCCGAAGACCTGTTTTTGCCAACCAGAACCTGATTGCTTGGGTCTTTGAGCCAAGGGACTCAAGGGACAAGGGTACTCAGGACAGTGCAAATGGAGAGAACCAGTCTGAGCTTAAGGTTGGATAGAGGGAATGCTCAGAGAAGAGGTGGGGGCTGAATATATAAACCTGAGGTTGATCTGTCCATAGGTGAAAATGGAAGCCAAGAGCTTCCAATGAAGTTGCTTGGGGAGGGAAAGTCAAGTGAGGAAGGCTGAGGACAGAACCCTGGGGAAGAGGAGGGAGGAAGCATCCACAGTCGATGAATTAGAAATGTCTTTTCTTCCTCAGGAGTGATGGTTCAGGTGTTCTTTCTAAGGTGGGGAAAGCCAGTCTCTGCAGCTATTGGTCAGTGATTTAAAGTTCTTTTTTCTAGACTGTAGGGTAAGTGGGGTAAGACTGTGGGAAGAGAGGGAGGGAGGGAGGGAGGGAGGGAAGAAAGAAGGAGGAAGGAAGGAAGGAAGGAAGGAAGGAAGGAAGGAAGGAAGGAAGG